AATTGTTATGTCTTCATTGCAGAATGTGGTTATTCATTGTAAAGTGGTCTTTTGTTTTCTGTAATGCTTTTTGCATTGAATTCTACTTAGCTGATAGCACAAATCACAGTTCCTCTTTTTCTTATTGCTTCCATTTGTTTGGCAAATATTTGTCCATCCTTTATTTTTTCAGCTTTTTTGAATCACTGTATTTTAGGTGTATCTCTTTTATAGAGCTGGATTTTGCTTTATGAGCCTATTTGAAAAATCTTTTTCTTTTAATAGAGAAGTTAAACTCATTCACATTGACTGATAGAACTATTGTTTGTTCTCAATTCAGTCATATTATGATTACTGTGTATACTGTTATATTTTTGTCATACTCATTGTTTTTCTTGCTGTGTTTGCTATATTCTTTTGGTCTTTTAAAATTTTTTTCTGTTATTTATAGAGGTTTATATTTTTATTCTAGTAGTTACCTTTATATTAATACTTTGTATGACTCTAAATCCTCTTTTTCTTACCTAACCTTTCATTATCTGGCATATCAATTTTAAATAGAATCCTTTAACTCTCATCTATTAACTATATGACAGTTAATGAATAAAAATATTTAGTCCTGAAATAAATGTATTCAATAAATAATACAATTGTATTTAAGACTAAAATTATTTCCTCAATTCATGCTGTAAATATAAAAAAGCAAAATGCTGCCCTTTTTAGAAGAAATAGATAAATTAACATTATAATATTGAGAAGAATTACTTTCAACAAGACACAGAAAGTGCAAACAAACATACTATTAAATTTTATCGTATTAAAATTAAAATATATATCAATGAAAAACACCAAAGCCCAGTGAAAGTCAAGTAACAGAATGGAAGAAGATAAACGTAACAAATGTAACTGTTTAAGAATGAGTATCAGAAGCAGATAGAAAATGCCAACTTAAATATCTTCTTTTGAGAAGTGTATGTTCATATCCTTTGCCCACTTTTTGATGGGGTTGATTTTTTTTTTCTTGTAAATTTGTTTAAGTTCTGTGTAGTTTGTAGATATTAGACCTTTGTCAGATGGGTAGATTGCAAAAATTTTCTCCCATTTTGTATGTTGCCTGTTCATTCTGATGATAGTTTCTTTGGCTGTGCAGAAGCTCTTTATTTTAATGACATCCCATTTGTCTGTTTTGGCTTTTGTTGCAATTGCTTTTAGCATTTTCGTCATGAAGTCTTTGCCCATGCCTATGTCCTGCATGGTATTGCCTAGGTTTTCCTCTAGAGTTTTTATGATTTGGGGTTTTACATTGAAGTCTTTAATCCCTTTATGCTGCCAACAAACATGAAGAAAAGCACAACATCACTGATTACTAGAGAAATGCAAGTCAAAATCACAACGAGATACCATCTCACACCAGTCAGAACGGCAGTTATTAAAAAGTCAAGAAATAATAGATGCTGGTGAGGCTGTGGAGAAATAGGAATGCTTTTACACTGTTGGTGTGAATATAATTAGTTCAACCATTGTGGAAGACAGTGTGACAATTCCTTAAGGATCTAGAACCAGGAATACCATTTGACCCAGAAATCCCATTACTGAGTGTATACCCAAAGGAATATAAGTCATTCTACCATAAAGACATGTGCATAGTCTTTGTATGTTTATTGCAGCACTATTTATAATAGCAAAGACATGGAACCAACCCAAATGCCCATCAATGATAGACGGTATAAAGAAAATGTGGTTCATATACACTGTGGAATACTATGCAGCCATAAAAAGGAATGAGAGCATGTCCTTTACAGGGACATGAATGAAGCTGGAAGTCATTATCCTCAGCAAACTAACACAGGAACAGAAAATTAAACAATACATATTCTCATTCATAAGTGAGAGTTGAACAATGAGAACACAGACACAGGGAGGGGAACATCACATATGGGGGCCAATTGGGGAATGGGGGGCCAGGGAAGGGAGAGCATTAGGACAAATAGCTAATGCATTTGGGGCTTAAGACCTAGATGACCAGTTGATAGGAGCAGCAAGCCACCATGGTACATGTATACCTATATAACAAACCTGCATGTTCTGCACTTGTATCCTGAAACCTAATGTAAAATTTTTCCAAAGGCCAGGCATGGTGGCTCATGCCTGTAATCCCAGCACTTTGGTGTATCACTTGAGGTCAGGTGTATCATCACTTGAGGTCGGGAGTTCGAGACCAGTGTGGCCAACGTAGTGAAGCCCTATCTCTACTAAAAATACAAAAAGAATTAGCCCAGCATGGTGGTGTGTGTCTATAATCCATCTACTTGGGAGGTTGAGGCACAAACATAGCTTGAACCTGGGAGCGGAGGTTGGAGTGAGCCAAGATCACACCACTGCACTCCAGCCTGGGCAACAGAGCAAGACTCTGTCTAAAAAAAAGTAAATAAAAAGAGAATGCCAACTTAATAAGAAAAATTAGAAAGTTTGGTAAACTTTTGATTGGACAAATTATAGAAAAGATACTCAAACAGTCAATAAACAGAAAGATACTCAGCCTCACTAAATATCAGAAATATGCAAACTAGAACTCTAATGAGATTCCATTTCACATGCTTCAGATTGACAATATTAAATCTGACAAAACCAATATTATGAAAATGTGAAGAAAAACTATCAAAATTGTTGGTGAGAACAATTTGGCACTAGCTAGTAAAATGTATGTTCAGTAATGCCGTTCTCATACCAGAAAACATATATATACACACATATATGTATGTGCATATGTATTCCTAGCAGCATTTTTGTAATGAAGAAAAATGGAAACAAATTTAAAGTTAATCAACAGAAAAATGGAGAAATAATTTGTGAAGTTATTATACAAAGGAATACTCTATAATAGATTAATAAGATAAATATGTGTGAACATGAATAAGTCTCAAAAATATAATTTGGAATGATAGAAGCAACTGGCAATTTAATATATACTGTATAAAACCATTCATATATATGTTAAAAGGCTACAAATAACATTAGTTTATTTCTACTTATGGTACACAAATATTTGGCATTAAAACACTGATAGGAATGATAAACCCCAAATTTATGGTGCTGGTAAACTCTGGAAAGGTGAGAAAGAAAAGAATTGTGGAGGAGTCCATTGTGTCTTTAAGATTATTTGTAATGCTTTTTTTCATTTAAAAGAGATCTGAAGCAAAGATTTCAAAATACTAAGATTTGATTAAGTTGGTTGCTGGACATACAGTGTTCATCATAGTATTATTTATGTTTTCCTTTTTTTTTGATTCAGAGTCTTTTTCTGTCACCCAGCCTGGAGTGCAGTGGTATAATCTTGGCTTGCTGCAGCCTCTGCCTCTTGGGTTCAAGCGATTCTTTTGCCTCAGCCTCCTGAGTAGCTGAGACTACAGGCACCCACCATGATGCCAGGCTAATTTTTGTATTTTTAGTAGAGATGGGGTTTTGCCATGTTGGCTAGGCTGGTCTCAAACTCCTGCCCTTGGATGATCTGCCTGCCTTGGCCTCCCAAATCGCTGGGATTACAGGTGTGAGCTTGTAATTTTTTCTTTATGTTTAAAATATTTTAGAATCTTTTGCCACATTTTCGTTATCCAGTCTATCATTGATGGGTTTTTGGGTTGGTTCCAAGTCTTTGCTATTGTGAAGAGTGCCACAATAAACATATGTGTACATGTGTCTTTATAATAGAATAATTTATAATCCTTCGGGTATGTACCCAGTAATGGAATTGCTGGGTCAAATGGTATTTCCATTTCTAGATCCTTGAGGAATCACCACACTGTCTCCCACATGGTTGAATTGATTTACATTCCCACCAACAGCATAAAAGTGTTCCTATTTCTCCACATCCTCTCCAGCATCTGATGTCTCCTGATGTTTTTAATGATTGCCATGGAGAACTATGGAGCCAGAAAAAGGATGAGTTCATGTCCTTTGCCAGGACGTGGATGAAATTGGAAACCATCATTCTCAGCAGACTGACACAAGAACAAAAACCCAACACTGCATGTTCTCACTCATAAGTGAATGTTGAACAATGAGAACACATGAACACAGAGAGGGGAACATCAGACACCAGGGCTTGGTAGGTGGGGAGTTAGGGGAGTAATAGCAGGGGGTGGGGGGATTGGAGAGGGATAACATTAGGAGAAATACCTAATGTAGATGACGGGGCGATGGATGCAGCAAACCACCACCATGGCCCATGTGTACCTATGCAACAAACCTGCATGATCTGCACATGTACCCCAGAACTTAAAGTATAATAAATCGATTTTAAAAACTATTTTAGAATTTTAACAAAGATTATTGTCCTGAGCCTCTGGACCTAAAATCAAGAAAAATTAGCCATAAGAAAAGGCTGCATGGGCTGAGGTTCCATTTCATGTCTTGGGCTGGATTATATCAACCTAGGGTGTAATGCGTGGTATAAATCATGCTGCTTTGGATGCAGGTAGCCTGGTTGCATATCCTGGCTTGTAGCTTAGCCACCTCTTCTTTGGTCAGATTCCACCACGGGGCTTGTTGTGGTGATTAAATTAGTTAATGTTCTTAAGTGCTTAGCACAGTACCTCAGCGATGGTAAGTATGCTTCACAGGTAACAAGAACACCAACCTCGTGGGTTCCTTGTAGATAAAATAACGGAAGCAACTGGTCTGTGATGTCAAAATTCGTAATCCTGGGCTTTCTCTGAGCATCCCTGGTTCCAGTTCCACTCTGGGATCCCACAGCCAGCAAGAGGTCGCCTCTTTGATTTCTGACCTGTGCAAACAGCACAGATAAGGCTCTTATGGTTTCTGGTTGAGTTTTATTAATGGGGACCCCTGGCAGGAGATCAGTGGGATTGAGGTACAAGTTTTTCCATCTCATTCTCTGTGAGATTCCTTGGGCTGGCTATGTTCAGTGATTGAAAGTCACTGTTCCTCTTAAGGTGATTTGATCTCTACAGTCCTCTCTCCCTCAGCTCCTTTTGGTAAACTTTCTGTCTCCTCACTTACAGGGTGGTGACGGCTCTGCTGGTGCCAGCTCCAGGTTTTGCATGACCTCTGTGGGCTCCCCTATACCTGCTTAGACCTCTATTCTCTTTTTGCACGTGCTGTCTGTCTCCTGCTTGCTCTGTGGCACAGCTGGGTAAGTGTCCATCTTATTCCTGGCACAATGTAGGGGCTTCAGTGTTGGTGGAAAGGCAGAGAGAAATTCATTAATTCCCAAGGGAGAAATTTAAGACTGGAGAATTAAGAGAACAATTTGGCAGTATCTAGTAAATATATATATCCAGTAATTCCTTTCTTATATCAGAAAACAAACATATAGACGACAGAAATGTTTTCAGAAGTCAAAAGACTAAATTCAAGTAATGAGTCTGATCTTTTCTCCAACCTTCTTCCTGCTAACTGTTCATCTGGAGACCCCTAGAAAATTTTGCCCTAATGCTGGTGTCTCTCCTCCCTCCCCCGTCCCCCACTATTTCCACTGATTTTAAATGAAAGTGGTCCTTAATATTTTGGTATTCATATTTTTCTACCCTTTGCCCCTTCAGCCCTTCATACAGTGCTCTCTAAATATGCTTAGTGGTGGTACTCTAAGGCTGTAGGCGTTTACAAAAATCCCTAGGCAGTCTCATGAAAATCAAACAGTCCACCTTTCTTTAGCTGGTTTCTTCAAAGGGATTTCTGTAAACAGCACTTCCTTCAAGCAGAGTCCACCTGCCTTTCCTATCCTTGCTTTCTTGGGAGGTGCCTGCAGTGCCATCAAGGGAGCCCAACCCAGAGAAGGGAGCTCACAAATGAGATCTGAGGCCCTTTAAAGATGTGGCATCGAATGGAAGACTATTTCTTCGAGCAAGCAGGAAACACATGCACAACAGTCCCAGAGAGAGATATCAGAGAAGACGGCTCTCCCCTGTGATGAGGGCATTCAGGGGTGGAGCAAGTGGGGAAGCAGACCCAGAAGCACTGGGCTTGCTGTATGTCACCCAGGCCCAGGCTAGCAGCCTGATGCGAGATCCTAGTCAGCACTTTGCCCCAAACGGAAAGAGCTTGGCATAGATCACACAGCGGGGTAGTGGTCAGGCTGAGCAGAGACTCCTAAATAATAACAACACAGGCTGAGTTTCTGGGTAAGACATTTCTCTCTTGTCCCATTCTCTTGTTTTAGTCTCCATCTTCGGAGCTCTGTATCACTGATAACCCAATGTTAGGACAGAGACCTGATATCCTCTCTTCTACTCTTAAATCCACTGTTCTTTTTTCGAGAGCAGACTCTCTTTCTCCAGAGTTCCTGATTCTAGATTTGTCTTGGTCAGCCTTAAACTGATCCCAGGATCTTATCACACTAGGTGTTCAGGGATTTCTTTTGCATCAATCTGATGCAGCACATAGGTGGATGGTGGCAGCTCTGGGCCTTGTCCTAGGAGTCTTGACAAAGCATCTGAATAAAGACACCTGAAGGCCAGCTCCATGTCACAGGACTGCTCCTGATGATTGCCCTAAATCCTCCACCTTCTATGAAATCAATTACTGGCAATAGCCTCAAGACAGGTTGGCCCAGTGGCCATCCTCATGGAGTAGAGATCTATTCTGGCACATATATCTGACTGTGCCATCACTGCCCTTCACATACATACTTCACACCATCTACACCTGCAGTCACTGCTATTTTCACTCAGAATAAACCCCAGGCTCTTCAATAAGGCTTGCAAGGCTGTTCAGTGCTCGGGACTATTCATGTCCTCAGCTTCGGCCCTCACACTGAGCCCCCAGTGTCTTGGACCCAATCAAACTAACCTTAGTATTGAGGATGCAAAAGATTTGGAACCTATATCCATGTTGTTCCTGCTCTCTGGACTGCTCTTGCCTGCGTTGCCCACTTCATACCTCTCACTTCCACTCTTCCTTCAGGGCACAGCTAGCAGAGCTGAGAGGTCATCTTGCTCAGTACACTCACTCTAGAGATGAGAAAACTGAGGCCCAAATCCCAGGTCAGTTCTCCTGACCTCACGATCAGGCAGCAGCCTGACCTCAGTATCCAATGCTGCACAGCATCTGCAAGGATGCTCGTGTTCCCAGCTCCAGCTCCTCTTTCAGGCCTGTCACGTTACCCATGAAAGGGATTTTGAGGCTTTCTGCACTGCCCTGGCTGGTGTTCTTTCACTGCCCAGGGCACTTGGTGGGAAAGGTTGTTAATGCACTTTAGGGTTTTAATTTTACTTTTCAAAAAAGTTTTCTTCTATCAATATTTGATAAGGGTAATTTCAAAGACTTGTTTAGTATGATCTGCACATAAGGAGCCCTTCTGAGTATTTATCACGCTTGGGGTATAATTACATTCAAATCCTGAGACACTGTTGCTAGGTTACTGTTGCTCGAGGTTCCTCCAACCTCCATGCTTGAAGTGCTCCCCCCACCTTGTGGCATTAGGAGCAGGGGACCTGCAGTTTGGGGCTTATGATTCCCCTTAATAAAGACAATATTCTGGAGTCTCTTCTGTTGGAGAAAGGAGGGGGAGAGAGAGAGAGAGTGCGCGAGCGCGTGAGCATGCGTTAGCAGGGGCATTTTGCACACCTCCCCAGGTAGGGCTGGAGCTGCGAATCACATCATGTGGTTCCTGCAAGTGAGATTAAAGAGATGGGGAGGGGACAAAAGGAGGGAATTGCTGTCTTGTGAGACTCCCCAGGAGAAATCATCTCTGAGCCTTCCCTTCCGCCCTGCATTCTCCCTGAGAACTGAACATGCATCCTGCCTCCTTCAAGGGCCCCAGGAGGAGTTCCGTGCTGACAGCGGGACGCTGCCCTTGCCCAAGGACAGGCAGCAGATGAGGGGAAAGCACCTGCTTTCCAGACTGAGCAGCACTGGGCCCTTCATCTAAGGTGAAAAATCAGGATCAGGAGGCCCAGGCCAGCCCCTCTCCTCATGAGGCTCCTCCACGTTAAAGCCACTTCTAGTAATCAAAGTGTCCAAGCCTCCCCAGTGGATTGTATCTGCACTTCAAGCTGGGTTGGGGATGGCTGGTCTTGAACCCGTGCTGTTTTTCTCAAGGTCTCTGAGAGGCAGGAGCAGGGACAGAAGGTCCTTGGTTCAGGCCTCTTATCTCCAGAGGTCTCAAGGGTAAACTCTTTGTTGTTATTTTCAAGTGAGGCTACAATGAATTCCTTTTTTCTTTCCTTCCTTCTTACCTCCCTCCCTTCCTCCCTCACTCCCTTCCTTCTTTCCTTCCTTCCATCCTTTCTTCTTTCTTTCTTTCTCTACCATTAAACAAATCAGCTTGTTAAATACACACCTTTAAAATATAACACATATTTATAATTCTGTTTTAGGATTAACTTGTTCTTTCAACCAACTAAGTCCTTTAAGTGGAGGAAGTGGGCGTGCCCCTAACTACCTCTAAAGCCTGGTTTAATCTCTCCCTGCATGCGCCCGGCACCTTGCAGTTGATTGCCAACCCGAGGATGCTGCCTTTGTGGCTGCACATTGATTAATGGCTGGTCAGGGCTGAACTCACACATTTGTGTTTAACGTACTACTGAGTCAGCACCGCTGGCCTTGGGGAAGAAAAAAAGAAAATAAAACCTGGGAAGATGGGTTTGGGATGCAGTTTAACGTTGGATTTGCATTTTTTGACTCTAATGCCCAATCCATTTTCCATTGGGCTTTAGAAATGCGCTAGATTGAATTGTGTTTCCCATTGCAAATTTTAAATAAGGTGGATGAGACAGTAGGCATTGCTATCCACAATCCCTTGGGTATAGATGCAAATAAACTTTTAAACCTCAGAGCAATTTCCCCAGTCATCATAGACAATAATTGCTGTTAAGAAGAATATATGCCCATGTACACATACACAGTGTTTGTAGCTCATGAGTGGGGAATATCAATTGTCAATGTTTAATGCAAAAAATAATTAAAGGCTTACATTTGTTTCAGATACTTACAAACAGCTTTGCTATTAATATTTATTTTCAAAACCACAAGCAAGATCTGGAGATAATTCTTTGAGACATCAGCTGGGTAAAACATATTTTGTTTCAACATTAAAAGTTTGTAAACCAGCCTGATGTGATGGCTTATACCTGTAATCCCAGCACTTTGGGAGGCCCAGTCAGGCAGATTTGCTTGAGCCCAGGAGTTTGAGACCAGCCTGGGCAGCATAGCAACACTTCATCTCTACAAAAATTAGCTTGGCATGGTGGCGAGCACTCTTAGTCCCAGCTACTCGGAGGGGCTGAGGTGGGAGGATTGCTTCAGCCCAGGAGGTGGTGGTTGCAGTGAGTCACAATTACTCCCACTTAGGCCACAGAACAGGACTTTGCTCAAAAAAAAAAAAGTTCGTAAGTCTTTATAGCAGGAGACACTGCAGAGGGTGCATTTTCCTAGTCCAGAAGGTTAGTTAGGCTGCTGAAGCCTTTTTCTATATAAAATGGCCAAGGATTACTGGATTCTTCTAAATTACATTGGAAAGTGGGAAGATAACACAACCTTAGTTAATTGTAGGAGTCTTTGTTTTGAAGAATAACACATCTGATGCTTTTCAAATGCGGGTATTCACCCAGGAACTTACCAGCAAGGAGAAGAGCCAATTTTGCTTTTACTGGCTGCAGGCTTTGTCTCTGTTCCTGTGCAGGAGATCTTCCCAGTCTTGTAAGAGAGGGTAAGGCAAATACAGAAATAACATCTGTGAACATCAGGAAACACAACTCAAACCAGCTAGTTTAATTGAAGGCATTTGCTAGGAGAGAATAGTTACAGCAAGTTTGGAAGAACTGAACACAGGGGACCATGAGACAACCCAGAGATTAACAAGAGAAACCATCGCCCCTCAAGGCAAATCAGACAACAGGAAGAGAGTGACTGGAGCCTGGGAGCGGGGGCTACCTGGTGGAGCTGAAGCCAAGGTGGGCACAGCCCTTGACAGTGATGTCCCTCCCCAAAGCAGAGAAGGAAAAAAAATTCTCTGGATTCTCTTCTCTTCCTTCCTACCAAGCTCTCATCCATGCCTCCTACTGGCTGCCCTAACCAGAAATCAGTGGGCACATGCTGCTGGGAAATGCAATTTGTTGAGTCAGGCTTCTGAGCCACAGAGCAGAGGAGTGGGAAGCAAGGAGTGGATCTACAGGTAAAGTCGCAAAAGACTTGCGTACTAACACAGGAGGCTGCACAAGATGCCAGGTCAATAGAAGGGGATGAAATAATCAGAGAAGTGAGT